TCTTTGGTTATTAGCAAAGAGGCTTCTCCTTGGCTTGCATGCTCTGTGACAGAGGACTGGGAGGCTGGTGGGCGCTTGAAAATTCAGCTCACTCAGAAAAAGAAAACAGGCTGCTACTTGGTGTCAAAAAACCATAAAGCCAGGAGCCAACCATTTGTGACTTCTTTAGTTAGAATTACAATGTCTATCCTAATAAACAAATGTCACATGGGTATTTTAAAATGGCAGGAATTGGGGAGGAAGACAGTAGCTTTAACCTGAGCCTACCAACTTTTTGTTAGGGACAGACCCAGAAACAATAGAAACAAAATTCAGAAAAGGCCTTGGGCTTTCAAGTCAGACATCCTAGTCTCAAGTGTTGAGCCAGCAAAGGAAATACAGTTAAGTGTCTTTTAAAATCCCTGAAGTTTCATCTCCTGTCCTATAAAATGAGAGTATTATAATTACCTCAAGGGTAGTTTGGAGGTTCTCTACATATAACTTCTCCTCCTTTTAATCAAAGTCTATTCTTCTACCCCAAAGATGTTTCTAGAACAGGAAAGTGATTAGGGTATTTTCTTTTCTTAAATCTCCCTGTGTCTACCAAAGCACACTAGCATACGATGTTTTGTCCCATAAAGCCAAGTTTCAGCCACCTCTCCAGGCTCACCACTGGTTTTAACCCTCGTTCTCATTCTAGCCATGTCCAAACAGATCCATCATGGATTCTCAATACGCTGTCGCTATGTATTTGTTCCATGTACTTTTCCAACATTCCCTTGACCAACACTCCTTTAGTGTTCTTGTCCACTTAGCAAACTCTTAGTCAACCCTCAAAGCCAAGGATATCTCTCAAAACATCACCTTTCCAGCATGCCTGGAGCTTCCACCAAAAGAAACAAAGATTAAATTTCACCAGGCGAAACAATCTCATTTTTTTCTTTGATTTTCTTTTTCCAACAGGAAAATATATTTTATTTGGTGCCCAAGGCAACAAAATCCAGGTGGTATTTAACTACAGAGAAGTACCAGGGGAAAAACATAACGCAGTCAGTTTATCTACAAACGAGCACCAAAAGAAAAATATGGTATCATTAAGATTCCCAAAGTCAGTCGACTTTAACTTATCACAGTTGATATACTCACTGAGTTATGAGAGAAGTGGCACACATCCCCAAAATGTGCCACCTGAAAAAAGAGCCAATCCACATCAATGACTTTAGTCATTGAATTACTTGCTAGGTACAAGATGTATGATTTCTAACATAATTACACTTTAAAATTGGCACGAATGAGTAGACGGCAATTCAAACAAGTTTAGCATTCTTCCCAAATATTTGATGTGTGGCCGTGTTGCCATCCAAATCCAGGTCTATCTGCCTTTATAGCGTGTTCTAATTCCACTCTTCCACATCATTTCCCAGTTGACCTTGTACTGTGATTCCATAAGGACTAGAGTAACGGTCCACGTATCTTTATACAATGCATCAGATGCTATCTCTAGCCATGTCACTCAAAATACCCTTTTGCTTAAGGAAAAGTGAGTTTGGTGATGTGAAAACACTGGTTACACAGCCAACTGGTGAGAAGGTATCTCTAGCCAGGTCACTCAAAATACCCTTTTGCTTAAGGAAAAGTGAGTTTGGTGATGTGAAAACACTGGTTACACAGCCAACTCGTGAGAAAGGGAGATAAAACCTCTTCGGTGAGGCAGTAGATGATCTAATACAATGGGGGAGTGGGGGCATGAGGGAGCTGGAAGAGGGGAGGAGGGAGAGGGATGAGGGTCATGGTCCAGCACACCTCCTGGGGACGGGACACAAGTATAAGAAGGATTTTACCTAACAAATGCTATTAGTCCAACCTGATTCTTTGTACCCTCAGTTAATCCCAAACAATAAAAAAAAAAAAAGAACGTCTTGAATTCCCAGTTTCATACCCTTCGTAATGCACATCATAATTCCCTCTCTTCCTTTGGACCTACTGCCCACTTTTCTGATTTTTGGTTCAAATCCCTAGAATATTTTTTATGTTTGCCTAAATAAAAGTAACATTATAGAAGGATTATGGTTTAAGGTATCACTGAGTTATTAAAATTATTCTCATGTCTTCATTTATCCAGCTGGATTAACTGGAACGGATTTATTATTGTGGTGCTGCTGGTCTTGGTGATGGAGGTGACTGTGTCTAGCAACCTAAAGTTGTGTGTGTATCTTTACTTCAAACCTTCTCCAGTCTTATGCTAATCTTGAAAAAATGTTCATTCACCTTCTGAATGAAACATACAGCAACATACAATGATACTTCTCACATAGTTAATGCAAAGCAAAACAGAGGCTTCATTTAAAAAGTCAGAAAACATTACTTCAATATGAAGCTGAATATGAAATCATGCATGTCACAATGGAACATCTTTTAGCAATCCTATATTCCTATTTAGAAATAATGGCCTGTAGATACATACGGGGGAGGGGAAGGTATATACATTATAAGAGATCTTGCTGGAAATAAAATTGATCATTTCTCAAAAGTGAATGAATTTCAGGTACACTTGAAAGTCTAGGTACACTTGACCAGTAACAGTACTTTCAGTTCAATTTTGAAAAGTAATCCATAGGAACATTGCGTAAAGTGTGTGTGCATTTTGTGGCACCCTCTGTCTACAGACAAAGATGTAGGCACAGACACAAATACATCTGCACACCACTGAAAGTTCATTTGAACTAGAGAAAAACTGAGTGTAAATGTTTGTAATATGTCAAACGTATTCCTGGGAAGTAGCTTCTTGACTGGGCATCAGGAGGAATGAACCCTACCTACTTACTGAGTCTGTAAAAAGGAGAAGGGAACTAAGGCATTTGTGGGGCATAGAGAGCTGGTCCCTGCAGGGGGCAGGCGTCATTCCCCTCTCTAGACACAGCATGGAGGTCTAATCTGACTATCACTCTTACCAAGCTCACACCTTGCACTTAAAGAAGTCCTGACAGTGCCCATGGCTCCCAAACATCTCTAGGTTGTCAGTTTGGTCTCCTACGATGACTTATCACATTATTATTAAACAACTCCGTAAAGTATATAAGTTAGAAAATAGCAAGATTCTGACCTAGCCTTGCAGTGTTTTGTTGTTTTAATTTATTGGGACTAATATGAATTCTCTAGTCCTTCATGCAGTTCAGGGCTTAGCTTACCCCTCGTGCAAGGAGAAGACTCAAGTTAAAAGCAAATGACAATTGTGAAAGACTAGGTTACCATTCTGTGCTAAGTAACCTAGTCATTAGCAAACAGTTTCCTTCCCAGGCTGAAGAACACTTCATACCAGTGATTTTCAGCCAGGGTGCCAGAGCACACTGCTGTGTCATGGCAGTATCCTAGATGTGTTGTGAAAAGTATTCAAAGATCATTGATTAAATTATTTTCAAAACAAGTCCAAAGCAGAGTAACTATATTCTTTCTTTTACTTTTTTATTGCTTTAGCTTTTTATTTGATTTAGGGGCTAAATTCATTCTGTATCAAAGATTATAACTTAAGTACCAGAACTGAAGGTTTTCTTTTAACATTGATATTAGCTGATTTTCTGTACTTTTTTTTTTTTTTTTATCAACATAGTTTAGGTGTGCCACAGAATTTTAACTACAGGTTCAAGGGTGTCAAGAGATTTTTTTTAAAAAGGCTGAAAAACCCTGCTTTCTACATTTGCTGGCAATAAGGCAGAATTAGAACTGATTCTGAATGATGAATTTCCAAACACACATTCACCTGTGTCCTCTCCTAACCCGTATTAACTATCTTTGTGGAGTAAAAAACAAGTGTTGTGTAAGATAAGATAGAAGCAAGACTGACTCATCAGGAGCAAGTCAGGAAACCCTGCAGTGTGTCTCATTCAGTTTAGAGGCAGAAATCAAACTGTGAATTCAATTTGTTTAAGATATCTTGCCACCTGGAGAAATAGCCCATTTTTAGGGGTCAGCAGTTATCAGCGTAGTCATAAGTTCCTACACAGTCATAAGTTCCTACACAGTAGCAATGTGGATAATTTTGGCTCATTCAACATAAGAAAAAAAATCTAACAATCTGACCTAACGAATGTAAAAATGTAATTCAGTATTCTAAGACAAGTTATATTTTCAGTGGTAAAAAATGTGATATGTTAACTACTAGCTAGCATCTAAAATACATTTCGAAAATACAAAGAATAACTCCTGAATAACATCACTCAAGAGTTAACTTGTAAATCTTTTTAGAAGTTTATAATCAATTCCATAAATCTTATACACAAAGTAGCATAAAGCAGAGTACAGAGAAAGAGAAAGACATCCTAGAAGTCAAACGAAATTGGCAACAGCAGGTTTATGACACGCTCCTGAAAAGTAATTCATTTCCATCTCCTAATTCCCAACCAGGTAATATCACACACTAGCAGATACACTATTCCGAAATAAATTCTATGTGACAGCCCTTCCAACCCAACCCAAACCAAACAAAAAACCAATTAAGTCTAAAGTCAAAAGTAATTCAAAACAATGACTTTGCATCTTAGACACCAAATAGTATTGTGACTGCCTTTCCAACAGGAACATGAAATAATGCAGGTCACAACCCAAACTCACCAGGTGCAATGGAATATTAAAGCTGATATTTAGCACGTTATTGAATCCAGAGAGAAAAAGAAAGAAAAGGAAAAAACAAGCCTTAAGAACTAATCATTAAAAAGTCCAAAAATGTTGCTCCTTCTGATTTTCAAGATTAAAAATCTTCATTCTTCACCTGTATTCATATTTTGACATCATGAGCGTCGTGCTCAGTCTCAAAAACTCTCCTCTATTAAAAGGCAACAACCTTCACGTTTTCACCTTTTCTTATGCAAGCTCGTCTGCAGTTCACGTGTTCATGTTTGTGCTCAAAAACTATAAAAACGTTTTTGTTGTGATCATATTAAGTAAGACAGTTTGTTATTCTAACACATGAGATAAGAAAAGCCGTGCAGGGGAGACCAAGAAACCAGTACTTTGTATATCCTTACCTGCAGGCCTTCAATGGCTAACCTCAGCATGCTGGGGGTCAGTTTTGAGGCTTGCTTGAAGGTGAAGTTACTCCAGTCTATGATCAAAACAAACCCATTCACTTGGAGCTCCGGATCTTCAATCATAGCTTCTAAAGAAAGCAAGATGGCACGCAAAATATCCACCAGCGTGTACCTACCAGCAACAAGAAAGCACTGAATTAAATCTGACAAGTTGTATAAAAACTATACAAAGATTTTTAGCATGCTCAAAATTCCCTTTAAAATCCCTCAGGAAACTTAAGGAAATGATCTGGTTCACAGACCTTCTTTTAAGAAGAGCACTTAACATGTGCTCCAGGGACACATTAGTATTCTATCCAAACAACGCTTTTGAAAATACTACAGTTTGTTTATATTTCATAATCATCTAATCTACCTCCAGGCTTTCCTATGATGTTCGAAAATCTCATTCAATTATCCAAAACTGGGCATCACACTTTTAAATAACTCTCCAGTGCCCTCTGTAATACTGGCACTTCATATTTTCACATTTCAAAGAACTGAGTAAGGTATTTGAAGGAGTCTCATCCATAAACAAGAACACCGTACGTGATATGGATAAAAGTTACAACAAATTACTTGGATTGAGTTTGTATCATAAGGATAAAAGACAGAGGGAAAGTGGGAAAAATGAAAAAACAGAGAGAAATGTAAACAAAAGGGGGAAGTCATGGAAATTTACCTATTCTAATAAAGCCATTGGTATTTAGGAATTGGGTTTTTGTTTTCCTAGTTTGCCTTGGCAGTGCCTGGCACATTCTAGAAGCCCAAATAATGCTCTTTACATTCCTGTAAAAGGGGAATCCATTAGAGTGCAAAGACATTGGTTACAGACTGAGCCTCTGTCTCAGTAAAGACAGGAGCAGTACAAACACAAATAAAAAAGCAAATTTGAGAGGTATATGAGAGTTAAACTGGTTAAAATTTGACAATGCAGGGGCTAAAGTTAGGGTAGAGTAAAGCATGACACACAGATTCTAGTTTCACAGCCGGAATAAACAGTAAAACCTTTAATCAACAGCAATAATGCAACTAAAGGATACTGTTAGAGAGGCTAGGAATAGTTTTGAACAGAACCTTTTCAGCTGACAAATGTGTCGTGTACCCAGAACAAATTATCAAGGAAACATGGGGACAAACAAATCCTAAGCTCAGGAGAGAACTCAAAGCTGAAAATTCTAAAATCAACGGCACACAGACCTTAAGCTCAAAAGTAAAGGAGGTAATGCAATCTAGCTGACAGAAATATTAGGTAGTTATTCTAAAGAGGGAGTCCTTAGACATCCCAGCATTTTAGGAGTCTGCAAATGTATTGAAGATGTTAACAATTTCAATTTTTGTACCACCACATTTCAAGTATGTGTTCTCCCTAGACATTCAGGGGTAGATGTTCAGGAAAAGCTAAAAAAAAGATCTAGAGCTCAGAAAAGTGGTGCATTGCAAGTGGGGGTACAAATTATCCCCGTTTATTGGAAGTGATGGGCTCACTGGGAGGCCGTATAAAACAGAGTGTGGATGAGGACATAGTTCCGTTTTACTCCTAAAAACATTCCGGATGAATGGAGAGAGCACCGCAGTTCAGAAAGGGAAGAATGCTTAATGTTGGAACTTTAGGCAATTTGTCGCCATCTCAGGGTGTCATTTCCTCATCTGTAAAGGAGGAGTTGGAAACAGAACCGTTTTAGAATCCTAGCATTAAGGGAGATGGTTTAACAGATACAATGCACGGATGTGTAGCTCGCCTCCTGGGTGGAGGACTCAACTACAACTCAGACTTTACCTTGCAAACGCAAACAATGTAACCTAATTGTATATACCCTTATATTAAGCAACAACAACAAAACAGGTCTGGTGTCAGAAGACTTCAGGATAGAATCTCTGCCCTGACCCTCATTAGCTTTGCAGTCCTGGATGTGTCAGTGATATATAATTCTGAGGATCAGTTCCTTTATCTGAAAAAAAAAGGAGTAACTATCACTGGTTGGAGGGAGGGTGAACATAGCAGAGTCAAAGAGATGATTCAGGGGAAAGCATTTGCACAATCCTAGGTATGCAGCAAATAGTCAGTAAAGGTTGGTTGAAATAAATATATAGCATAACTTTTGTTAGAATAGATGCCACAGACACCAGGTAGTAAGCAGGACATCATGAGACCAAAGAATGTCTTAGTTCAAAAGTTAATGATGATCTTTAGGGTACCCTATTAGTCTTATAAAACACAAGGATAAAGAGGCCTAGGATGTGGCATCCAAAAGTACTTTCTGAATGGGGTGGTGCCTGTGGCTCAAGGAGTAGGGTGCTGGCCCCATATACCAGAGGTGCTGGGTTCAAAACCAGCCCCAGCCAAAAACTGCAAAAAAAAAAAAAAAAAAAAATACTTCCTGAATATATAAGCTAATTGCAACTTTTGCTAAGGCTCTATTATGTATTTGTTACCACATCTGTGAAATGTGCATGGTCAAATACCTTTATCTGTCACTTTATGGCCGGCCTATCTCTGTTTTAAACATAATGGCCTGAAACACTGTTGTGAAACAAAAGATTGGAAAGCTGGAGCAGGAAGACTGTATTTCTGGTTAAAATTTAGACCTCTCCAACCCCCCAAATCATTTCTGAAATTCACAATATCCTGGTAAAGAAAACTAAAAAGTAGAAAAGTCTAACTTAGAACGCTCCCCCATTGTGAAGCTGATCATCCTTATGTTACCCATGAGAAGACCAAGTACCAGTAACACCAAAATACTAGGAAATAAAATTTCAATCTGAAATTGCCTTTGAAAAAATGATGCACTTGTATGTAGTGAAAATCAATGAGGGCACCAGGAAGAACTGAAAAGATGAGGCAATTTGTCTTAAGTAACACACGTGAAATGTGGTTATCCTAAACTGTGTCAAAATCAAAAGAAAAATGTAGATATTCATCATTCTTCCAATGAAAATAACGTAAGGCGAGTCTCACAATCAGCAATAGGAAAGCAGTTTTGCAAAGTTTCCAAGAGTAAGTCTAACCAATTTTTTTGAATTTAATATCTTGCTCCAAGAAGAAAATTAAATGACCTTTATACAAATCATATTAATTTATAAATTTTAAAAAAGAACATGAGAACACTCCAGCTAACTGCATTCAATGGACAAGTCAAAACCGCTGTTGACTTAACTCCAGTCCTCTGTTGTCAAACATGTCACCTTATCGCCATTAGCAGCTCAGCAGGCTGTTCCTAAGCAAAACGTGATTCTACAGGATCTCAACAGAGTCTGCAAAATTCCTTTCAAAGAAAGGCAGCATCTATAAGTTTTCTCTATGCTGGACTCCTACCACCATTCTCCTTTTAAAAATTATTTTGATTGATCTAATTTCCAGCACAATGTAGAGGTCACTATCCTGAAATATGCCACAAGTTCATGTCCGGAGTTTACACCCAAATTGCATGGGTTCCATCATTGCTATACTTTCCCCTGTATATTCAAAGAAAGCTGTGAATATCAATAACAAACCAGCAAATTATTAGGACTTCTCAGTGAGCTAAAAAGGTCATCAAAGTGCCATGGCAGCACCATTTTATGCCTTCCTCAGCCAGAGGGAGGATGGGAGCCTGGGCCTGCAGCACTGAGAGGGCAGCACCCTGCCTGCAGCCTGCTGGAGCCCCATCATCATTTTTACAAGAAAAGTTAATAGTGGAAAATGAATTCTAAACATAGTTTCAAAAAGTACAGAACGAAATCAGGGAGGCTTCTTCTCTTGCCTCTGGCCATGCACTTTTTTAGTGACTACCTGGCCTGGGCAGAATTCTGGCCTCTTCTCTTCTACTACAGCTCACAATCAGCATAAAGGTCACCGTCCATCACAAAGAGGTCAAATCCTTTTGCTTCCCAACCTTTCCTGCATGACAAGGAAAAACTGGCATCTTGGCATCAAATTAAGCAACACAAGAGCCAACAATTTCCCTCTGTCACTAAATCAATCAGCCAGTATTAAATTCTTCATTAGGGCTGCCCCCGTCCCTCGGTTTCATTAAGCCACATTTTCTAACGTCTAAAGCACTTCACATTAGAAAGGTGCTTGGGGGAGAGACAAAGGAGAAAAATCACTTGTATTAATGCCTCAAGATACCATTAGTACCAAAGTTAATGAATCCACGTAGATGCTTTATATTGCTGAGTGATAATAATAAGAATACCTCCCTCTGCATAATAGTTAAGACTTCCAAAGCAATCTCTCAAATGCATCATCTCTGTCTCAAAACAACCACACAAAGTCTCTGAGCTGGCTTTGTTCCTAATATTTCACAGATGAGGGCACAGGTTCTCAGAGAAATTAAACAGTTTGCCCAAATCACCAATGGAAGAAAAAGGGGAGCCTAGATTAGAAGCCAAATCTTTCTGGCATCATGTAGATCAGTGTTCCTCTGCACAGACTCCCTGCAGGGACTCATACCTAGACCAGAGTTTGAGCAATAGCTGTCCGCTTTTTCAGGGTAGCATAATATGTGTGTCAGCATAATATGTGTGTCGTAAGATGGGAGACCAGGACCATGCAGACCCTCTCCAGCCTGGCTGCAGTAGGGGTCTTTGGTGGAGAAAAAGTCATCCACAGAGTCAGGGCAAGAGGCAGTGAAGTCTACAATCCCCCGAGGAAATACGAACTCTGGAATTTTCAACTGTTTGGCTTGTATCAATGAGCACAAAAAATTATCTGTCTGAGCCTTGCTTTAATTTTACTGCCATGGTAATATAGATGAGGTAATATAGATGAACAATACAGAAGAGAATCACAGGAAATGAAACACCTACAGGTGAAATGCCTTTCTTGAAAAAAAAAAAGTAAACATAAAAATTTTGCACCTTTTGCCACCAAAGAAATTAAACAGACTTAATTGTCTTGGTACAATACGAACACATCAGGGCCAAATGTTCTAAGCCAGTATCCAGATAGCAAAGTCTTTGTCCTCAGAAAATGTATTCTTCACCCATAACTTTCTAATTGTATGTAGTCTGAAGCTGATAATCAAGATTTTTCTAAACCATAGATAGAATTGTTTTTAATTAACAAAGCTTGATTTTTTTAAATATATTTGTCATTCTTTTAGGATAACTGTGTAGAAACACACAAAGGAGTGACTACTAATTCACTTA